GGGGGGGGGGAAATAACGCGATGCGTGACAAGCTCTCCTCCCAGGGATGAAACATGTTGCGTTATCGGATCAAACAACGACTAGCCTGAAATCTAGATAATTGTATACTAGATGAAAATATTTTTTGTACTATATCATGCAATGGGTAATATTTTCTCTACAGGACCACTCAAGCTTTCTTTTATTTTTCGTGTTGTAGGTCCGAGGCCTCAGCACCTGCAGACGCCAAAACAGCCAAACCTGAAAAACCAGTTGAACCAGCTTGGAGTGATGAAGATACAGACGTGGTCCATTTAACAGCAAGCACATTTCAGGAGTTTATTAAGTCACACAGTTCAGCCCTTGTCATGTTTTATGCTCCCTGTAAGTTCTAAGAAAAAGCACTTTTTGTTGTCTATTTGTTACGTTTGCGATATGTCCTTTCTTTTTTATGTCGCAATTGTTAAATCTGTCTCGTTCGCTTTAATTTATTGGTTTTTAATACCTTATTATGTGGTTTTGGCTGTTCTGTCTTTCATTTGATGTTATTGTAAGATTTCTTTTCTGATTTTGTTGTTTTCTACTTATTTAGGGTGTCCACATTGCAAAAAGATAAAACCCGAGTTTTCGGAGGTGGCCAAAGAAGTCAACACCGAGAACAAGGTAATCAAATATTCTTTCATATCAACGAGAGTTGCGCAACTTCCTCAGAACCTAGCTCCAATGAAACGAATGAAGACTTCTTCTACTTGTGTTTCCGAAAAAAGTTTTTGCTTTACTCGGTCCCTCTTGTCAGTTGGAAACAAACACAAATTTTGCAGTAACTTTCCATGCTTTAAATCAGAATCACATTTTTATCTTTGAAAGCAAAGCCAGATTTTGGGAAAAATCAAGAACAAAAAGAAATACGCTTGACCTCTTTATCTCTATAATTGAGTGAATCTTGGCTGTTTTTGTTTTTGTTTTTGTTTTTTTTTTATTTATTTATTTATTTTTGGGGGGGGGGGGGTGTTTCGACGCAAATTCTCATTTTCCACGATTTTGCTTTTCAGGTCCCTGGTGCCCTGGGTGCGGTGGATTGTACTGTGGATGGTGATCTTTGTACTGAACAGGAAGTCAAGCGTTATCCCACATGTGAGTCTTTTACTTCCCGTCATATTCTAGTAACACGTGTCTTTGAAACGTTGCCAGATGTTATCTCCTTTTCACACGCACTCACCAACTCACGTATATACGTTCACAGGCCTAATACTTTTTTTTAGAACGACCTTCACCCAGACAATGACGCTTGACGATACAGTAACTTTGAATCGCATACGGTGGTTGAAAAGTTATCTTAATTGCTCGGTGTATGAAGTGTAACACCCAAACTGTTTTCTCGAGCAAAGAAAAAGACGATTTTCCCCTTGAATATCTATTGCAGTTTTGAAAGTTAATTATAACAAATACTGATTTTTTGTTTTTCTTATCTCTCTCTGGAACTATGTTGGAACAGTAAAGTACTACAAGTAAGTGTATCTATTTCACAAACAACATCTTCCATGCCTAACTATGTCATGTCATGTAAAATTCAACATGCACTGATTTCAATATTCTATTTGTTGCTTGAACTGATGATATAAAACCTTACCTGTCTTCCATTTTCTAGTTTTGTTTTCTCTTTTGAACGAGGATGTTTTAAGATGCAATTCAAACGATTAAGGAAGGACATAAATCATCGCTGCCGGCGTGAACCCGCGAGGTTTAAATCTTGTGCTACAGAAATTGTCAACGTCGTTCCCAGTTCCCTTTCTTCATACCCTCAGGGATCGAGGTCAAGAAATTATCAGAATGTTCTACCTCATAACACAGTAACGTTAAGAAGTGTAACTGCCTAGAATAGCAAGTGATGATGTCATAATTCTTACAGAGATGGGGAATTTGCTTACAAGTACACAAAGAAAAGGAAAGCAGAGGACATGCTAGCCTTCATGAAAGAGTACGGTATTATTTCCATCTTGTCGCCAAAAATTATATTAAAATGATTTGTGCTTTGCATGTCATTGGCCAACCTACTTTTTCATAAATTATCAAAGTGTAGTGTTAAGGAAATCATGAACCTTGGATACATACGAATGTGAAATTTTTACTGACTAATTTTGCTTGGAGAATAATTATATCTGTTCAAAAATTGTTTTAAATTTGCTCATCTCTTTCTCAGTCCCCAGAAACCTGCACCTCCTCCTCCACCACCTGATTGGAGTAAGGAGTCTGGTAAAGTGCATTTCCTGACTAACGAGACTTGGGATTCATTCATGGCCGAACATCCTTCTGTGCTGGTCATGTTTTTTGCTCCTTGTATGTACAAACAATTAATTTCTTATCATTTCAATTATTATTTAACCTTTTTTTCTGTTGATACAGCGGTAGATTATTAAAGTTTTAACCCAACGTGAACGGCTAGTCGTTTTGATATCACATGTACGAGTCACGTATAATTCACTTATCACGTGCCATTCACGTGTCAATCTAAGGTAAGGGAACGACTCTGTTAATTGGTTCACTGAAAATTATGTTAGGTTCAATGGAGGTTCATTGGTTCGAGAGGAATCACATGACTCACCAATTGTATCAGATTTTTACACTCGAAGGTTAGAGGTTCGATGCTTGGTGGAAAACTAGGATTTTTCCTCATCTCATTCTCGTGACGGAACAAATGACATTTTTTTCCTTAATTTAATCGTAATGTGGTCAGTTCGTTTTTCATGATACAGCAAAAGAAAGGGGAACTAAATGAGATGCTGTTGATACGTTAGTCTCTATGTAGCAATTATTTACCGTTGTGGAGGACAACCACCATTTTACCCACACTGAGGTTAATAATTGTATTAGTAAATACCACACACACACACACAAAAAAAAGGTTTATTTCTTTCAATATACCGAATCATGGTCAGAAATTAAACTCTAGACACGCGATTTTGTCCCATAGGCTGCTCGGAGGTGAATAAAACTTACTATTCACTTCCGAACCAGCCAATCAGCGCGCGCGATAAGCATTACTAACCTGTGTGGTTTATACTAACAACACTAATTTATTTGTTCATTTATTTACTTTTTTTAATCCATTTTTTGACGTGTGTTTTTAGGGTGTGGTTACTGTAAAGCTATGAAGCCAAACTTCTTTAAAGCCGCTGAGATCCTTAGTGAACAACATGTAAGTCTCTCTAAACTTGTTCTGGGAATGTTTCACAAAAATTCTTTGTTCTTTGCAGGTGTATCATCTTGCCTTGCCTTAATGTTTTCACCTCCGTTTTGCTTTTCGTGAGTTATCGATTATTATCTTATCGATTTGGTTTCCGCTGAAGTATATATGCACAGTATACTGATGTACTATCTAACTTTATTTAGCCGTCTGAAGCGTTAGCAGCTGTTGACTGCACGAAATTCAAATCTATTTGCAAGCGGACCGGTCTCAAGGGATATCCCACAGGTAAAACTCGTCTCTTCTTTCGGTACGTCTAGTTTGACCATGTTTCACGTTAAAATACTGCTAAAAACGAACGGTATGGTATAATTTTTTGACGAAAGCTGTCATGCTTTGACAAAACTCCGACGACTTTTAAATCGGACAAATCGTCGAAATGGGCGTTTTGCATGTCATGGCTTTTAAACCTCTATGAGCAGAACAGCGAATCGATTCAATGACTTTAAGTGGACTTCTTAGTTGCTTTTCCATTGTATAAACTCTTTAGCTGTAAATATAATTTTTGTCTGACGACGGGGGGGGGGGGGGGGGGGGGGGGGGGGGGGGGGACGCGCTTGTTCGACTTGTAACGTTTAATGGGCCATAACTCTTATTTGGTATAATGTTTCTTCTCTTTTCTTCAATGTCCTTGACTGACCTGCAAAAGTGAAATACTACAAGTAAGTAATAATGATTTGTCATCTTCACCTTTCTACTTCTTCATTTCAAACGGTTTGTTAATGTTCCTAAATATGTCGTCAGCTTCTCGATATGTTTATTTTTCCACATCCTAGTTTTGATGGAAATTGTAAATGCTAAGGCCAGAAGCGTGTGACAATAACTGGCAAAAATAAAAAGGCCTCGCGTCTTTTGCACATATTCAACGCAAATGGAATCTTTATCTTAACAAAAAATCCGGAAAAATTATCGAGGCGATAGCGATGTTCTGTTATGTAAGAACTGATTTTCTTCAGTCATTCACCATGTTAAAACGTTGTAGAAAAAAACACCTTTTCAGAAGGTGGATGACTGATAAGGGTGGAATAGAGAAATTTATATCGAAGTACTGCCATTTTTCATATTCTTGTCGGAAACAATTTGTTGCGCTGAACACATGCAACTTTATGTTTTCTCGTCACAAAAGAGATTTGAAAGTTTTATTAATTTAGGTGCCAGTAGCTTATTTTCATGGCTTCTTGTCAAGCAATTAAGCGTCGCATTAAACAGTATCCTCTTTTTGGTAAATTTCTTCTTTTTTTTTTCTTATTTAACGTCTGTACGTGGATACTTAGAGAGAAATTGATGCTTGTATCTTGTCGTAGTAAATAAAACTAAAAAAATGTTAGCTATAAGTTCGTTTCAAGAGATTATATTTTCTTGGTCTGTTTATAGTATATGACTTTCTTTCATTGTTTATCATAGAAATGGCGAAATGGAAAAAGATTATGATGGTGATAGGTCGGCTGAAGATATAATTAACTTTATGAAGAGGTAACTTCAATCATTCGTTACGCGACCATTGTCGCGCATGTGCAAGAAACGGAGTGTGCGCGTACGCTCCTAGCGACGCCGCCATTGTTTTCTTGGGGTCTCTCTGTTATATGTGCCATGACAGGTTATTAACTTTGAATAGTAATTTCTTATGATTGTCCAAGCTTTCCATCAAAGCATAGCTTTGTCATCATATCAACGCAAGACACTGAATTTGAGTACCACAAGAGTTCTTTGAGAAACTTCTTGTTCATGATTTAACAGCAAATTAACGCGTTTTGTGTTAGTAGGAGAAACTGGAATATGTCCAGTTTCCCCTCTGGTGCATCATCTAATCCTTCTGTTCTCTTCAGCATGAGTGGTGTGGACACTGTACCTGAAGAAACGAAAGGAACTGAGACAGAAAAAGAAGAATCAGATGGATTGAAGATCTTAGCTTCTGCAAACTTTGAATCCTTCTTGTCCGAGACAGAACACGTGTTGGTTATGTTCTTTGCCCCATGTAAGTCCCACGAAAAGTAAACTACTACCTCACAATCTTTATCAACTCTTGGTTTGAGTCACAGAAATTCTCTTCAATTTTGCAGATGTTCAGGATCAATTTCTGTTGACCTAACAGTCTATTGTGAATCTTCTTATTCCTTTAGGGTGTGGTCATTGTCAGAATGCCAAACCCAAATTCCTGAAAGCTTCTGAAGCGTTTGCCGAGGAAGCTAATAAAGCTTTCACTGCAGTTGACTGCACTCAGGATAGCGGTACGTTTAACAAAAGTATTTCTTGTCTCTGAAAGAGTGAGGTTCAAAATGAAAAAATAATCATTGAGCTCGTTAAGTCTTAATTCCTCCATTCGTATTCCTTCTTAATCACTGCACACCAATCAAAAGACATGAATGCTTGTGAACGCGTTACAAGGGCAATTAGAATCATGGGAAGAACATAGGCTGCCTTTGGAATAGCCTATTCCAAGCGTTCATGTGCACGATAGCAAAGAAGTGAACAAGCGAGGGAGGTCTGGGTCGGGTATTATATGATCCAGACCTCCCTAGTTTTTCACTCCTTTGCCACTATCGTGTCGTTTACTATCTTTGGATGGATTAAATTAGGTTTGCAGCCTAAAAAGAAAAGACTGGTAACGAGTTACTGGAAACTGTCACAACTTACTTTTGACATTTCCCTTAACAGATTTGTGTGATAAACAAGGCGTGAACGGATATCCGACCATCAAGTATTACAGATATGGTGCTTTTGTTGTTGAATACGACGGCGACAGAACTGAAGAAGACTTTTTGTCCTTCATGAAGTCACCCCCCAACCCCCTCCCCCCTGATCAACCAGACAGCAACCAAGATGAAAAGCGAGACGAACTTTAACTTCGAGTTTTGTATTTCAAATTTAGCTTTAAATTATCCTTTTAAATTCGGCCATAGCGAAATAATTCCGATGTTTTTACGAATAATTCTGTAGAGTTTAGTAGATGCACCCGACGTTAAAAACGTCTCATCAGGAAAATTTACGACCACGTCTGCAGCATACACCAACCGCGAATTCACCTCTGTTTTCGTTCACTTTTCTACCAATACTAAAAACGATCAACAGGAAAGTGATAATAAATAAATTATTTCTGTCTTTCGGCCTCGAACGCAAGTATTTCCTCTTTAGTTTGGTTGAAAAACAGACTTTAATGCTCACTTTTTCCATTCTTTGTACGCTTAGACGTGGTTGTAAGTTTTTATCATCAGACTAATTGCTCTCCATCACTCTCGCTTCGTAGGTTTACTGTAAATTTTTTTTTTTTCATCAAAAATTTTCAAATCAGGAAGTGCACTTTTCAAGTCAAAATGGCCTTCAATTCATCTCACGACAGTCGATTAAAGTTTTTTTTTTAAGAAAAGGGAATTATTCATTCAGCTTGCTTATTTCCGAAAAACATTTTTGATTTATTTATGAAATGAAATTGCTCTTCTACAGCCTGTTATGTTATGATGTAAATTTGACATTCTGTCAAACTAATGTGCTTTAGCAGTCAAATTTCCGAGAAGACTCTCGACGAAGCGGTAGCTTAAATCAACTATAGATAATTGCAAAGAGATAGGTAATCATTATTGAAATAACCCAGAAAAAGACCTACTAACGAGTCACAGATTGTTAGGCAACGCTCCATAAGCTCTATGTGACATTACAAACAAATGCGTGAGGTCAAACAAAGGAGAGTGTTCAAAAATATTTTTTTGTCAGATATTTTTCTCCATGAAAATGCCGGTATCGTTTTAACTACAGATTAAAGGTCCAAATAAAGACAATTACGTACTACAAGTTTTCTTGTGCTTTATTTTAAATGAATAAACACGCCCAGTCCAGTTCTGCCTCTCTCTGATTGTCATGCAATGTCGCGACAGGCGCCCTGAACATCATGGCCATGTTTACGGTTACAAAAATAAAATACAGCAAAACAAAAATCCTTCAGTTTTTACTTCAAATCGCCCCATTACTTTTCAATCGTGCTAAGAAATCCGACGGATTTTCTTTTCCTCTCTATTTTTAGGGTCTAAGAGCACCTGTAAATGACGTATGATGAACTTGTAAAATTTCAACATCTCGTGTACTGCGTATCTGTGTTATGTACATTGAAGAATATTTTGCTGGCCAGCATCGAGAGGACCAGAACTATTTTATTATATATTGAAACTATTTAAATGACACTCAAAGAATTAAAATTTGCCGGTGTGTCGTGGTACGCTTAGGAAAGAGCTGGAGAATGAGGTCTCTTAAAGCCAACTTAGAGACGAGAAGACGAATGCTACATAGAAATCATCACAACACAATTGAAAAGTATTTGTTCTCGTGCAGGATATTACAAGGCCCTGCGCACACGAAGCTCTCACACGTCCACGTAAGCTCGCTATTGAGCTGTGAAAACAGTCATGGCTACTGAGTCTCAACAGAATTAGGTTACAAGATGGTGCATGCGCTGCTCTCATTTCTTCTCTCTGCAGGAGCTCGACCCGTTGTTGCAGGAGCGGAGGCATGAGGGGCAGTCGTCTGAGTGTTTGAATTCATTTCTCCAATAATGGCCCGCAGTTCGGATATCTGGAAACAAATTATTGAATTAGAGGATGATCATCTGTCACGCACGTTGGGCTACGAAATGATTGTCTCGAGAGGAAGCAGTCCCTGGCCAGCTCCGATTTCGCGGTCAAATTCTCCACTAACTCCTGAGCTTCAAGGACATTGGTACGTCAGACCATATGCCAGGTTCACATTTGAAAAGCGTCCTGTATACTGTTAGGATTAGCAATATCGACAGCGTCCAGGATCGAACTTTAGCCTTCTTGGAAACTGACAATTATGATGGACTGTTACACTTTAAGGGGTGGGGAGGGGGGTAATTGTCATTGACCAACAGCACGGTGGTACATTTTTCAAATTTAAGGGTGCACATGGCGTTTTTTTAGAGATGGGCAAGGGTTTTCCATGTTTTTCTTCAAAAATTGTCCAATCACTCGGACACAAAAGCTCACCCCTACAGGGAATAAATAAAGCCATGTGAGAGTGAACTGTAACACACTACTTTTAAATGTTTTCATCGTCAACATAGACAGTGCACATACCGGTACATCACTTTTGCCTTCGGACTGTTTCTTGTCACAGAGCTGGCGAAGATGATTCTGAAAGACAACAGAACTGAAGTTATAATTGTTCAGGGAGCATTATCGCAGTTCGTCTAAAAGATCAACACGTTCCCGTAAGCAGATAACGCGGGTTAACAACCTGCGTGAGGAAATGAGTGCAATACTCTACACTAAAAATAATACTACCATCGACTTTGAAATTTGAGGAACTTTTCCTGGTTTACAAGAATTTCCTTAGAATCTCTCCCGTGCTAACTAAGACGGTTTTTGTGAAGTACTGTTATTTTTTTTGTGTGGATAACATACATTGTTTTGGATAGGGAAACAATTTAACATGGGGAATTTACTTGAACAGGGTTGGTTTCTAGAAGTGTCCTAAAGATTTTTGTTAAGGGCTGTTGCCAAAGATTAGTCTGCGATTGCAGGTATTGTTATTGCACCAACGACTGGAAACCTATCAAATTCACCAGTTGGAAGAGAAAACGGAAAGCTCTCTCTCCGAGAAAAAAATTTAGGCAATCGCTCGGGATGGTGTTACTTTACGATACACTGAAAAATAAGTCATCAACCTACCATTTTGTCTTGGAGTCGTTTGTTCTGCTTCTTTAATGTTGCATTGTCTGCCATTCCTTTTACTACAGCAGGAGTGAGAGACACCTACAGAACAGTGTTTCACAGAATGAATCAATTTTGCAGTCAACATACTTCACAGGAAATAATTCCTGTTTAAGTCTGTTGTGAAATCAGCCTGAAAAACTTAAGGTAGTATTGAGTTCGTGCTCACGTTTTTCTTTAGTGTTTCTGCTCTCATAATTGCTTTGGTATCTTTTCCTTTCTTGGCAGTTTTGTTGACCGGTTTCTTGTCGACCACTTGCTTTCCCCAGAGCTGTATAATGACCTCCTTGTTTTTCAGAAACTGGATTAACTGAAAAGGAATAACGAGAAGTGATGTGACTATTTTAATCTCACTTTCCCTACTAAAGAAATCAATGTGACCAATAAAAAGGGCTTGAGTGGTACAGTAAGAATAACAGGTAAGGAGTTACACTGCGCGCGCTACGAGCGCTGCGAGCTCCGCTACTACTTTCTCAGATTTCCGTCATCGGAAAATTATGCTTACATGAATATCAGACTGTCATTCTACTCCGAATATAGTGCACCATTTTGGCTAACCAGTCCCAGGAGTTTCGAAATGACAGCAATCTTCTGCAACCGCATTACATCATGGCATCCCTTACCCAAGTAATTTTAACTTCTCCGTCTATGGTAAGGATGACACCTTTGTGTGTGAGCATGTAGACGAAAGCTACTTTCTGTATTTCTTGTGGTACAGTTTATTATGCTGTACAAGGTGGCTCTAACTTTAAAGTCAGTTCATGAAACCCTAAAATGAACGGTACAGAGAAGCACTTTCAAATGGTACATTGTACCTATAAAACTGTTTGGTTCTCGAGTTTCAAAAGTGGAATTGAAAGAGGAAGCATTCAGTTTGAAGCTCCTAAAACTTTGAGTTACCTTCGGTGGAACTCTCTCAAAACTGAAAGTTCTTTCGTAGTTAAATTCGGGATTCCTTGTTCCAGATTTTACTTCCGTCTTAAGATCCGCTTCAAGGTACATGGAATATTTACAGTACACGTCCTGTTTTGAGAAAAAGAGACCAGTCTTGATATCGTTAAAAGGCAGCAGTCATGTATAAAAAGTGGTGAAATACAAAAACACCGAAGTGTTATTAATCGTCTCACGATGAAGTAACTTCTGATGTGGTTCACGATGTTTCGACTACATTCTACTTGCATTCTTCAACCGGTGAGGTCCAGTAGTTATGGGTCACATTTTAAGGAATTTTCCCTTTTTCCCCGCGAAGTTTTTAAACTTTTAATTACCAGTTCCCATTAAATCTCTCTGATGTCACCCTTTGTCTAATCTAAGCAGTAAAAACGGAAATCAATACTTAGATCTTACCGTGTAGCGCTTTGGAATTCCCTTTGCACTCTGCACTCGCACCACAAACACAAGCTTTTTACCTTCCTGTAGAAGAGAAACACGTACTGTCACATTTCAAATTTCCTCAGCTGTTCACCCCAGGAGCTTAACGTCAAATCTTTTGAGAATCCTCTTTTCTTGCATGAGTTATCAATTCCTTACAACGGCCGTTTTTATGCTCTCGAGACGACTTTAACGTCTTAGACAACTTTAACGCTATCGATGACTGAAGATCGGTGGGTGAGAAAAACAGACAAGACTAAGTAATGCACCACGGCGGAAGAAAGATGGTTAAGAGTTAAGAATTTAGAATGATTTACCAGTTGACTAGGATCGTCAATAAAGATGTCATCTTCTTCTGTGATTTCTTTTCCATTTTCGTTTAAAGGAACGACTTCTACCTACGGGAAAAGACACAGATATGCCAAGTTCAAAGTTGCTGAAGAGGCCATAGACGCCATGTTGAAGGCAAAAGGATCGGGTTGGAATGAAAAAGAAAGCGGGACAGTACTTACATTAAGATAGCCCAGTTCTTTTCCTTTATAATCAGTGATACTCAGCTGTTCTCTCATATCAAGCTGAAAGGGAAACAAGAAGAAATCAAGACATGTTTGCCTTAAAACGAAAAATCAGACGTTTGGAAAACATGAGAAGCTTCTGAAAACGAATTGAGGCAATGTTTAATAATGATTTAAGTAACTTGAGTGACAAGTGCACGGCATTCAGTAATCTAAAAGACGGTATAAAAATCTTCTCGGTCCGGCCATGTCCTCGTCTATCGTCAATCGGTCACTTTATCAACTTTGATGCGATTCAATCAAGTTGTAACGAAATTAAATGGAAGGGTGAAAATAAGAAGCAAGGCAGGAGACTCCGAGGTTTTTTTTTTTATTTAGGCTTTACGGCTACAGAAAAATAAAAACGTCTTATAGGAAAAAAGCAACCGAACAAACGACACTCATCTAGCTATTATTGAACTAAAATTTTCGAGACAATAATAAGCTAAAAGGAACCAGGATAATTAAAAATAAGGGAAAATAACACAGATCATTACAGCAAACAATTATGGCATGCTTACCACATATCCCAGACTCTGCATAGGAACAGCCACACAGCCAATCAGACTCTCGACATCCGGGCTTTCAGTAAAAGGATCTTTCTCGTCTTCGAGTTGCCAATCATCGCCGTCTTCGAAATTTTCGTACATTTCGTCCATGACGTATTTCCTGTTGATAAACTTGGCTTTTGGCCAGAGGTATTCGACGCCAGTTTGTAAGTCCCGCATGACTACGTATGGCTAGCACGCAAAAAAAAGATAAAACATCATGCATTGCGAATTCCTTGTTGCATAATGTTAGAATTCAAGATGAGTTTATCGTGTGAAGCGGACAACATAAACGGTGTCACGCTGTTATACACAAATTGACAAAATAACACAAAGAGAATGTACCTCGGGTCTTCCTTCGGGGAGTCCGCGAGCCTTGGCAGAGACAACGGAGACTTCAAACGAAACCTGGAAAATAAGGGAAAGAGATCAGACTCATGACGATTTCTTAGAGGCTCCTTTGGACAAATGTAGCCACACAGTATTACATGCATTGTAAGATACAAAATGGAGATTCTTTTTTAGTACCTTCTTATCCAACTCTTGACTGATGGCATTTGCTTCATTTACCATCGGCATCAGATCTGCCAGATCTTCTCGTAACAACATTGCTTCTGAATATATGAAGGCAACAGGGAGTGAATTTCTAAAGCTGGAAATGTTTCCTTCGATTTACGATGAACAGCCAACTAATTGGCTGATGAACGACTGACTGACTGACTAACAGCCGACCGACTAACTGACTGACCGAGTAACTTACAAACCAGCTGACCACCCAACCGACTGACTGGTTGACTGACCGACTCACTGACTGATCAACTGACATTACATTTCACTGTCAAATGGACTGACTGATTCATCCACCGAAATCAACAGCTACTCAACTCAACATCTTCTTCACCTTTTGACTCCTGATCATCCACGTCAAGTCCGGCGTTCTTGGCGATTTCCTCCTGCGCCATTTCATATGTTATGTCCGCCTGCTTCAAAGAAGACGACTGCGCCTCAGCAGGATGATGAAAGACATAAAGGTGACTTGTGCCAAACATAACTCTACAGACACACCCAAAAAAACACATGTAAGACGCAGGGAAATTAAAGTCAGAGTCAGGTTCCGTTGTCAAATTATTCCATGCCCGTCTCACACCTAATAGCTCCGGCATCACCTGCGTGTAAGGGCGTGCGAGATTGAGCTCTCTCGGGTGCTCTTAATACTGGAAGGATTGTGACTATTTTGAACTATCGTCTTCATTATCTAGCACTGAACACTCCACTACATTTTATGAACAGTTCCCACCGGTGCACACCTACCCTTCCCCTAACCTAAAATTAACAATGACTTGTTATCAGTTGTTAGGGGAGTTAGGTTGGTTAGAGGTTTATGGGAAGGGTGGGTGCGCAGTTGCTCAGATACTGACATTGATCCTTGCTGCTCGTATTACGATCGTAAATTCTGCAAACATATCCCATCATTCTAGCGGGTGGTTACCTGTCCAGATGGTGAAGTTCTTCTTCTTCGTCATCATCAACCGGTTCTCCATTGACGAGGACTTTAGCTTCGCCAAAGGTTTTGATGGTGATCTTTTTAGAACCTTCATTTTTAATTTCACAGTGTTGCTTCAGGATGCTAAACAAATGGAAACAACCAAGACGGATATGGAAATAGGTAAAAATTAGGTAATTACATGATGAAAAATATTTATCGTAATTCGATGTCAATTACGAGTAGTCCTCCAGAAAAAGAAGGTACAAAAGATGTTGAAGATTTCTCCTCCCTGGGGATTTGAACCCCGCCCTACTGCAGTTTCTAGAACGAATCTCATGCTAATAAAACCGGAGTATTGAGAACTCGTGGAGGAGGAAAATGGACGGCTCGGTTGTCGAGTAAAGAAAGCTGATATCCGACAATGTTCAAAAGACAACTTACTTTAATCCATGAAGAACAATGTCTGCTGGCGGATCACCCTTTTTGTTGCCGACTTTTACGACTCCTAGCATTTGAAAAGTAAAACAAATTGAGATCACAAAAAGCAGAAAAGTGCCATAACCTTTATTCAAGATGATATAGCATACCTGATTTAACCATGTGCACAATCATTCCCGTCAGCTGGGGATCTGGGTTCAAGTTCCACAGATGAGGAGTTGACTGACGTTCTTTCTTTTCAGCTTCTTTATCCTGATGGAAAACAGGTGAAACGCACAGGAAACACGTCAGAAATAAACAAAAATTATCAATGTGCAGAACGAAAAAACAAATACGCAAATGTACTACTATTGAGAGGTATCATGCTCATAGAGTACTCTTCACGATTAATATTGTTGTCAAACCAAAACTAAGTGGTGAACTAAACCGCGAGTCAGAAAAACGAAAAATTCAGAAAGAGCTAAATAAGACCACAAAGAAAACAAGCAAGCTTTCCCAAGAGTATGTGCGGGAAAACGCGTCGGGTACTCGCGTTTGGTTTTTTAACTATGCATCTGATTGGTTGAAGAGGTGGCTATTACAAAGTTTGTCAAAGTGAAATGGCTACTATCCTAGAACAGCGAAATGAAATCACGCCCGTTGATGCCCGTTGAGTTCCTATTAACTGTTGTACAGCAATACCTTTAGTTTGGTTTCACAACTCTGGTCAAAAAATGTTCTCTGTGTAACCACCAAGAAGGTAATCGCGGTGTCAAGAAGCCTGCTGGCATTTACGCAACAAAATTGTGGCCACAATGATTCGAATTAAACACTATTTGAATAATCTAATACAAAACAGTTAATGTTCCACCTTGATATCCTTTTTATTTTCAGCAACTCTATCATCCCAACTCTTATTCATGTCCTGTGTTTCCTGCTCTGTTTGTGCCATAGATGCTTTTATCTCCTCTTCAATCTGTTTCCTGAGTTCGGCCATTTCCTCTTCAGACAATCCTTCCTTCTCGCCGTCATCATCGTCATCGTCGGCTGATATCTTCACAGATTCGCCTGCTTGAGCTTTCTTTAACATTTCCATGAGTTTGTCATTTTCTTCTTTCAACTCCCTGATCAGTTTCTCTGTAGGATCCTCGTTGACTTTCGCTGATGTTTTGATCTGTTTAGCACGGTCAGCTGTCATAGAATTATGAAGTTGAATTTTGATATGTTCTACTGTTATGATCTATCAGAACACTCGTACACAATTAACGTTATAGAAATTTTGTTTCCACCGTTTTGCGTAACTTTAAAAATGATCACAAAATTATTGTGATCATAGGAAGAGAAAACTTAATTTTTCTCCAAGATTCTAAACAATGGCTAAAAAAGAGTCTTAGACTGGTGTCTTGAAATAAGTTCTTTGAAAAAAGCCTAAGCCGATCATCTTTTTTTTTTTTTTTGCACGATTTTGCGCTCATAAATTAGTTTAAGTAAGTAAGTAAGAACACTCTTTATTTAAAGAGGGCAGCACTTTATAGCCAAAAGGCTAATAACCTTGAAGTCTATAAAATCTTTCAATAAGAAAGACATAAGAAGACAGCATAAAACTCACCATATCTTAAGGTTGAGAGAGTTTCATCATAGTTTATGTCCGCAGGACTGATGGCAGCAATCTGGTTTGATGAGATGTAAAATTAATTTTTTAATTAGGACCTTTAGTCCTTTACACCCTAACATCAGTATGCATATTCTCCACACTGTTCTCTATACATTTCCAAAGAGGCTTACATGGAGAATTTGTTTAACAATCAAGAGGTGCTTGTTGGTGATCTTCTCCTCTATTCTCATGACTTTTGTGTTTGATTCAGGGGTGATATAGTAAGGAG